TCTCTGTCCATCACAATTGTGTAGCCTATTTACCAGTGTTTCTTTTCTGAGTTTCTAGTTGACCTCATTTTTATTGTCCTGTTGGCCCATCCTATCCCCAGGATTTTCCTGGTGCATTAAATGATGAAAGATCACTAAGACCTGTGGTAAAGATCCTGACTGACTAAATTTTTCAGAGCGGTTCAAAGTATGTGGGCAATAGGGGGGTGAGAACTGTTGATCTGGTTGGAGTATTAATTATTGAGTGTACTTTTTAATCCCAGAATTTGCTTATACCTTTTGCATAGCCCCTTTTTTTTTGCTGCGAAAACAGATATTTAAGTCACCAAATTATTGTCCGCAATGTTTTCAAATCCAGACAAGATCTGGAAAAGTTTCTAAAAAACTGGTCCGGGTTTGGAGGGCGGGAAAATTCCCATAAGATGGGTTTGGGTTTTGGAAGCAGCACTTTAAAACCCTGAACCCCGTTTATTTATTTAAATCAGGTCTTGGGGGTAAGCTAAGCATTTCTAAAGTGGACAACCCACCACCCTTTTTGTTCCTATCTAAGCGTTTTTTTAATTTTAACCATCTATTTTGACCTCGTCGTCATCACCGTATCATCCAACCCGATTCAAGATGGGTTTTAACTGCCGCCCTAATTTTTTTTAGCAGAACCTAATCTCGCCCAAATTTTGGAAGAAGGATCTTGCATTGACATAAAAAGTGAAGGGCCGTTTTCAAAAAAACAATCATAATCATCAATTAAAAGGCAATGGTCATTTGATTAAAATTAGGTAATCAAGTCATCACTGCAAAGGTAACTGTGCCAAAGGCATTTGTTACACAAAATGAAATTTTGGCACCGGTGCTATAAATTTTACAAAATCCCCATGCACCCCCCCTTAACATTTTAATAAGGCCTTTTTCGTTTTTCATGGTACTTTAGACAGTGTAAACACCTGTTTGGTAGTGTTTGAGATAATAATGGGTGTATTGTCTACAAGACCTATGTAGCATTAATATGGAGTTTAAGGGTTTTCTTCCGCTACTAGACCGCAATTTTTTGCCGCATTTTCTGTCTTTTTGCCTCTGCACAAAATTTTTTAGGTCCGGATTAAATTTGGGTATCACCCTTGAGCCTCAATAAGGCTTGTGCCCTGTTTTTGTTTGGGATGCGGTGTTGCCCAAATTTCGCGTGTGATATTTACTTTTTTTTGGTAGGTGGAACTGTTGGGCTTTTATGTCAGGGGCTGTTACCCAAACACCTTTTTCCACCCCCCTAAATGAATTTTTTTATGGAAATTTAAGAAAAAAATATAAATATAATTATGGCAGCCTTACCCCCCAATGCCTGCCATTTTTTACTTTCGCTCTTTTACTCATTCAAAAATATTTTTTTTCCTTTTCCAGCCCTAGTACATAGTTCTGCTTTTGCAATACCACTGAATTAAGTAAAATTTTTCCCCTTCAATACCCTCTTTTACTGTCACTTTTCCCCTTTAAATTCACAAAATTTTTTAAGTTAACCCCCTTATTACCACCCCCTTCCCCCTTCTCATTCACAGCTGGCTTCCCCAAATTAACTTTAACTCCTTTTTCCCTTTTGGTAGATAGAAAGGTTTTAAACCCTGTTTTTATCCTTCCAAAACCCCCTCAATTTCCCTTTATGGGGGGGTTGTGTGGGTTGACTGCCTGACCTGTTCTGCGCTCACCTTTTTAAAACACTGAGGGGAGTAACGCCCCCTACAACCTGACTTTCCTTGAGTTATAGATATATTTTGGGGTTTTCTGCTATAAATTCTCTCACTGTACACGGGGCAGCTGAATATAGGCGTACTAAAAAATTTCCTTGACTGTTTAACTATTCACTTCTTTCTCACACTGGGACTGAGGATATCCGACCTATAACCTTGGGGGTTTTGTACTGTTGATTTGCATGTCTCCTGTGTTTCCCCCTCGTTAGCATGGTACAGGGGATATGATGGGGGTACAGAAGAGCTACTTCAAAAATGAACGCAGAAAGATGGAATTTCACTTCGCATTGTCTCTGGCAGTAGCGGTGTTTGGGTGCCCGGCAACCCTTTTTAAATGCTAATTTTTCCCTCGTTTTTCACTGAAGAAAAAAGTCCTACAGACCTGTCTTTCCTTTGGGGAATTTTTTTGATCAGGTTTTTTTGCCATGTTGTCTTCCCCTTAAACACTGGTGCAGTTTATATGGGGTCGTTTTTTTATTGTATTGGAAAAGCCCCTGTCGGTTCACGTCTGGCAGCAGGTCTGGTACTTGAATGCCGGTCCCTCTTTTGTCATATTTAGTCCATTTCGTTGTCGTCACCGTCAGTTTTTATGTCACTATAGGTTCCTTGCATGTTGTTGCAGCAGTACTTGCAAATTTGGCCATCACTGGAGTTCCGGATAGGCCCAGATGAGGGTAACAAACTATCTAGGTAATGAAAGATAGAATATCACAGTGGAGTGGACATGTCAGCAGATAGGTCTTTGAAAAACCAGGTGAATTATAGAAAAGATGGAAGGGAAATCCATGGACGGAGTATTTAAAGCATCTGTGGAAAACATTTTATTAATAGAGTAAAAACAGGGGTGTACCAGACTATAGTGATATCAACACTTTAATTATGAGTGTGTGGCATGAGTTTTGAATGCTGCAGTAAGGAGGCGAGAGGCAGCAGAAATTGCATATGTGAAAGTTGTGTGTGCTGTGAATGCCATACAGAATATTTAGAGTGTAGAAATTAGAAGGTGCTATAGGCATGCAGAGAGGATGGAAAGAGACAGGATGACAAAGAGGATATATAAATCTGGGGTGAAAGGTAGGATGGTAGAGGTTCTCCCAGAAACAGTTAGAGGGAGAAGATAAAAGAGTGTTTCGAGTTTTAGGGGCTTGAGCATCCAACAGGCTTGTGTGATTGTTTTAGATGGGAGTGAATGGACACAAGTGGTTTTTAATAGACTTGCTATTGGAGTGTGAGTGAGGTAGCCTCTATGAAGGGATCCAGAGAAACTGGTTAGATGGGCTTCAGTCCTGGAGGTGGGGAGGGCAGTATCTGCACTTTGAAGGAGTGGAGATTTTGCAGTTGGATGGTAATCTGAATTGTGATGTCACCACACTTCCTGCTGAATGAATGATGATGATGAAAATGTTTTCTTCTTTTAGTGACCCTGTCTTGGCAATAGACAGTTGTTCAAGTTAAAAAAAAAAAATAGTACTTTCCAAGTAAATATATTTAATAGGTAACCCTCCACATTCACGAGGGTTAGGGGATCAAGAACCTTATGAATTCTTGAAAATTCACGAATGTTTGGTGCACAAATATGATGTAAGGAAATGTAATAATACTGTATTATCGTGAATGTTTTGATGTGCAAATATATTGTAGGGGAAATATAATAATAGCATTTATTTAGACTAACAGTACTGCTTTTAACCTGTTGAACCGTGAACAATCATAAAACACATGAAAACATCATAAAATATTGTATTTACATGTTATGGTTTTTGATAACAAATAATGAACAAATAAAACACTCACCACTTGTAAGGTTAGGAAGACGAACTCTGATGACTTGTGATAATGATGACAGTGACGATGATGATGGTGACGATAGTTAGCCATGCAGTTACTGATGACAGTTAAATACGATTGGGCAGCTGGGCATTCGTGAATGTTCAAAACCCCGTGAAATTTGGAGGGCTAGCTGTACTGTGTAGAGAATTTTTGGGCTACGTTGCTTTACATATTAATAAAAATTTAACCTTGGGTATTTTGTATTTAGTGTTTATGTGATAAAGGGTTTAAGAAAACCAACAAGTTGAAGATTGAGACACTTATGCAACGTATGGGAATCTTTATTGAGGAAACGTTATGCCACACAGTGACTTCATCAGTCCAATACAGAGAGAAAGGAGTAAGGAGAGGAGGAGTTTGAGGTAATCAGTCTCTTAGCCTGGAGTCGATGTGTTCAGTCTATCAGTCTTGTAGAATGTACAACATAGGGCCATAGACGTGGCTTATATACTGTAGTCAGGTGAAGCGAAGCAGGAGGCGGCGGGGTCATAGTAGAACCATCCACTAGTCTAAGTAGGTCTTCGTCCAAAGGTTGGACAAGGGTTGATGAATTCTTTGTATCAAGATCCCATGATGCTGCAGTGTCTGACAGATGTGATAACTGGTTTAAAAAAATGACAAGTTGAATATTGAGACATTTATGCAACATATGGAAATCTTTATTGAGGAATGTTTGGTGTGCAAATATGATGTAAGGAAATATAATAATACTGTACTGTAGCATTCGCAAATGTTTTGATGCACAAATATATTGTAGAGAAATGTAATAATAGCATTTACTTAGCCTAAGAATACTGCTTCCTTAACCTGTTGAACTGTGAACAATCATAAAACAAAGGAAAACATCGTAAAATATTGTATATGCATGTTGTGGTTTAATAAATATTGGACAAACAAAACACTCACCACTCATAAGGTTAGGAAGACGAACTCTGACGACTTGCAATAATGATGACAATGACGATGATGATGGTGATGATAGTTAGCCATGCAGTTACTGGTGGCAGTTGAATATGATCGGGCGGCTGGGCATTTGTGAATATTGGACCCAAGGTTTAAAAACTTTCATTTTTTTATTTAGTGTTTATGCTTGTGTACATTACATTATTCGTTTTATATCTTCTGTGGGTAATTCATGCAGTATATATAGTATATCTCAGATTGATTTAATATTTTTTCAGCTCTTTCCCCCCTCCTTTTATTTGTTAATGCTGGCCATCTATCACCGAGGTAGGGTGACCCCAAAAAAAGGGAAACACATTCATCATCACTTTACTCAATACCTGTCCCCGTCAAAAGTATGCAGGAGACCATAATTTTAAATGACCCTCTCAGTTTCTATGTTCCTTTATTACAAATGCAGTAAACTGAAGGAAATTGAAACATTTCTTATGTTATTGTTCATTATTTGTACCATCTTGTTTAATTTAATAGGGTGGCTACATGGCAGCTAAAATTGCTAAGCTGCAGAACCAGTACCATACTTCTGTCACAACCACAGTTGGAGAAGAGAATCGTGGAATATTTAAAGGTGTTGCAATCTTTGTGAATGGATATACAGGTTTGTGATTTACATATTACAGGTATATAATAGTAGGCATTATTTTTTTATTAAAAAATTGCAATTAAAGATGTATGAATGTATTATCAGTAACAAAGGCCTCAGTTTTTTGAGCTCCATTGATTTGGAAAAAACTCCATATGCAAAATTGATTTTTTTATGAATTACATAGGAAATAAATATTTTAGTTATTGAGGATATGGTGTAACCATAATGTTTATTGATAGTTCAATTTAATACACTGGACTCATAATTCACGTGAGATAGGTTCCTGAAATTAGTGCTGCTTAAGAAATAACAATGGTATTATTAACATATGGGGAAAAAAATAGGGTTGCATTTTTGTTGCCCCCCCAAAAATCCATTTTTTTAATTTCTTACTTTGTCAAAAATAATAGTGTTTGATAACTTACATTGTAGATGTTCTTGCATGATGATCTAGACATGTGTGGAGAGGGTTATGTGCTGATTAAAAAGTACATTATGCAGATTTTATCTGGGATAACTCAGTAAACTCAAACAACATTAGTGTACATGTAGCTTTAACAGTTATGTAAAATGGTATGTATTGCTGTACCTTAAAATCTGGTTGCTGATGCAGTGTGACCTTGACATTGGTGGGGACGGTTGTTGTGACCCTACCAGACCAAGAGGATGTTTGTAATAACGTTGATAGAATTATCAGCAATATGTTAGGTAAAAGGACACCAGCAGCCAATGTAACATTTTATTGTGGCAGAGTTATCAAAGCTTATTTCTTGGGTAGCATTGAGATTGGGTTTAGCAAATATTTTTGTTAGAGGGTTTGGGTTTGAGAAAGACCTGCCTAGTATGGGCCAGTAGGCCTGCTGTAGTGTTCCTCCAGTCTTGTGTTCTTATACTCTTAAAGCTACCCAAGGCTTTAGGTTCACTGACCTACTTAGTAGATTGTTCCACCTGATGGTTCTATTGCTGAACCAGTACTTTCCTGTATCCTTTCTAAATTTGTATTTATCCAATTTGCAGTCATTATTTTAAGTTCTTTTCTTGGTTGGACATCTTAAGTGCACTATTTATTTATATACTTTTTTTTTTTTTTAACAAACCTGCCATATTCCACCAAGGCAGGGTGAACTAAAATTTAGTAATTTATTTCCAGCATTTTGGTTGCCTTTTACAACATGCATGGCTTATGGAATAAGAATTCTGTTTCACTTTCCCATGGAGATAAGAGGTAATAACGAAGAACAAGAACTATTAAAAAAATAGCAGAAAACCCGGGGCGGGGGGGGAGGGGGGTATGTATATACAGCCTCTCCTCACTTAACGACGGAGCTAGGGGCCTAAGACCCTGTCAGTAAACAAATTCATTGCTAATCGAGAATCACCCTTACTGACACTTCAAAAGTGTCACCACTCAAAATTAAAACATTCAGTTTTATGTTTGCTGGGAAATTCCTTTCAATCTGTTTATTATTAACGGTAATACAACATGAAATATGTCAGTCACTTACTTCTGAGATATTCCAGGAAACATGTGCATAGCTGATTGCTTAGGATTTTTTTTTTTTTTGAGAAAATCGCACTTTTTTCAGTCTTTGCATAGGGTAAGAGTGATTTTTCTTTAGTTACCCTTCAGGCGCATAACATTTTCCATTATGGTCACTTTTTTTTTTATCCCTCCCCTCCTCCTCCTTGATTCGCTGGTACTCTCCCGGCCCAATGCTTTTCCAGATGGTGACCCGGCCTTGGCTCCCTCCCTGCCCTCCACCCTTCAATATAATGTCAGTTTTTATTAATTTGGGCATCTTTATCATGCTTCTATGTTATTTATGTTATACCTAATATTATTCTGGAATAAATATGATAGGTAGATAACCTTTATTGATAGTAATAGTATAATTACAATATTTTATAGTGCCGTGAGCTTACACAGCATTATGGGTGTCTTTATCATGCTTCTGCTGCCTAGTTATTATGGCTTGAATTCCTGTTGATGCTTTCACTGCCTCTTTCACTTTATCTTTATCTTTCAAGATAGTGGGAATAGTAGAATATGCCAGCTTCAAGCCATTGGCTATCACTTGCACTTTCTAACCAGCTTCATACTCGTTTATAATCTTCATTTTCATCTCAAGATCGAGAGCCTTCCTTTGTTTCTTGGCGCTTCCTTGAGGTGAAGTAAGATCTTCCTTTTTGCTGACATCTTGTACTATGGGATGCACAATAAAATGCAAATTTGTACAAATATGTAGTCTTGGAGACAGTGAAAGCAAATGTACTCAGTGGTTGTAGGAAGCAGACTGTTTCCATGACCCAAGTTCTTGTATGGCATAAAATCCTAATAATAATAATAAACTACTACTACTACTACTACTACTACTATTAATAATAATAATAATAATAAAAATAATAATAAAAATACAGTGGAACCTCAAAAATCGAACTTAATCCGTTCCAGGAGCTAGTTCTAAATTCGAAAAGTCTGAAATTCGAAGCAATATCTCCCATAAGAAATAATGGAAATACAGTGGAACCTCAAAAATCGAACTGCTCACAACACAACCAATTATGTAAGTGTATTTTTGTAAGTGCTTTTATAAGTGTATTTTTAAGGGTTTGAAATGGACTAATCTAATTTACATTATTCCTGATGGGAATAAATTCATTCGGTAAAGGCACTCGAACAGACTTCTGGACCGAAGAAAGTTCGATTTTTGTGGTTCCACTGTACAATTAATCCATTCCAGAAACCCAAAAATATTCACACAAAAAATACATTATATAGAGATTAATTACAGTTTTACATACAACAAATACTATAGTTTTTAATTATGTATAGTAATACATATAAAATAACATTTTTACTTACCTTTATTGAAGATTGGTGATGGCATCTGGAAGATAGGGAGGAGGAGAGATGGAGTTGGGGTTAGTGTTTGGAAGGAGAATCCCCCTCCATGAGGACTTCAGGTAAAGCCCTCTCTGGGGTTACTTCCCTTCTCTGTCTTTTAATGCCACTAGGACCAGCTTGAGAGTCACTGGACCCCTGTCTCACAAAATAACTGTCCACAGTCCTCTGTTTCTGGTGCCTCTTTAACATTTCCCTAAAATGGGACATGGTTCTGTCACTGAACTTGTTGCAAAGTTGCACAAACATTTGGACATCATTCCACTTGGCACAAATCTCCTTAATCTTTGAAGAAGGCACCTCATCCACTCCCTATTCACCTTTCACAACATCAGCTTCCTTGATTTGTTCTTTCTGTGCCAGGATAGAACCGATGGTCAACTTGTTTTTCCCATACATCCTGGCAAGCTCAACAAGTCTCACACCACTCTCATACTTCTGTATTATTTCCTTCTTCACATCTATGGTGTTTCTCACTTTCTTTACCACAGGGGTGCCACTAGCAAGTTTCTTTGGGCCCATGGCAGCTTATTTCACAGTCCCACAAGCACTAAACACAACGAAATAATCATAAAATGCGTGAATGAGAGCGCAGGTTAGTGTTCACTCAAGCATAAACAAAGCTAGACTGCTCACGGCGCCTGCACGGGGACGCAGACAGAGCGGGCGGCAGACAGGTCCCATACCCGGCGGTCCGAAAATAGGGGCGCGTTCGATAATAGGGACACAGTTTGTCCGAAAAAATGGTCCTATTTTCGAAACGTTCGATATGTGATACGTTCGATTTTTGAGGTTCCACTTTAATAAATAATCACTCTGGAGTGGTTTAAATGTCATACATATTTTGTACAGGTTTGCTAGCAGACATTTAAACCACTCCAGAGTGATTTATTATTATTATTATTATTATTATTATTACCACCATCCACATACCTTGTTCACTGAGTTTAATCATTTATTAAGCTGCGATGAGAGACAGTGAATGTAATAACAATTAATAATAATAATAATAATCTCTCTGGAGTGCTTAAAATGTCAGCTACCAAAACTATATGAAATACATATGACATTGAATGTGTCCCAGAGTGATTACAATTACATTTTATTATTAATTATATTTTATTATTATTAGTAGTAGTATTATTAGTATTATCACCATCAACATATCTTTTTCACTGAGTTTAATCATTTCATAATTAAGCTGCCACAAGAGACCAAGAATGTAAACACAAACGAACACACCAGCTAACCCCTTTATTGTGAACTTCTTTTGTACTTCTTCCATTTTCCTATCTTTCCTCTTCCAAGTGCTGCTGCACTTTTATCTTGTACTATGGGGTGCACAATCAAGTACAAATTTATGGATGAAATATGTAGTCTTGGAGATTGCTTGATACTGAGACCCATCACTAACCCATTTACAATGAACTTCTATTGTACTTCTTCCATTTAACTCTTCCAAGTGTTGCTGCACTTCTATCTTGTATTATGGGGTGCACAATCAAGTACAAATTTGTACAAATATGTAGTCTTGGAGACTTTAAAAGCTAGTGTATTGAGTGTAAGAAGGAGATTGAGATGCTTGTGGCTGAGACACTGTGCATCCCGTTTCCATGACCCAAGTTCTCGTACGGCTTAAAATACTGACTCGTTGGAGAGCCCGTCATAACTCCGAGTTATCGGTAAATGAGTATGTCGGTAAGTGAGAAGAGGCTGTATATGCATGTACATGCATGTGTAGTGTGACCTAAGTGCAAGTAGAAGTAGCAATATATACCTGGTATCCTGCATGTTTATGAGACAGAAAAAAAAGACACCAGCAGTCCTATCTTCATGTAAAACAATTACAGGTGATCTTCAACTTATGACGGGTTGATTTATGATGGTTCAACTTGACAATGGTGCAAAAGCAGTTAGTTTCAGTAATTACTGTACAGTGAACCCTCAGTTATTGGCCATTCTCCTTATTGGCCAACTCACTTATCGGCCAGTTTTTCGGCTTCCAGTTATCGGCCGTTATTTTGCTTATCAGCCATATTGGATGCTTATCGGCCGGCGACGCTCACGCATTCCTGAGTCAGTGTAGCTGTGTCGCTGGCCGAATGAGGAA